GGCCACCTGACAATGCACCTCCCTCCCCCCTTTTTAGACAGTTTTGCTATGCTGGCCTTGAACCCATAATCCTCCTGCCTCTGCCTCCTAAATGCTAGGACAGGTGTGAACTGTCACACTTATCTTAGCTTGTTGTGTTCCCCATCCCCTGTGCATCACCCCACATGGCACCCTCAGGTTGTGAGCCTAGCCTTTAACAGCTGAGCCATCTCTCCAGCCCCACTCCAATTCTACGTAGCCCAGGCTGATCTCAAGCTTACTATGTTACTGTGAATGCCTTTCAGTTCTTTGCCAGTCTCCCTTTTTCAGTGTTGGGGTGACATGCATCCCCAAGCGGTGCTGAGGTGGAACACATGGCCCTGGGGATTCCAGGCAAGCCCTCCTTCAAAGGGCATCTCCAGCCCCCATTCTATCTCTGTCTGCTCTGATGATCTACGGGTCCCAAGCCAAGATTGGGACTGTGGAGGAAAATAGTGGAGAAAAACTTCTAGAAACAACCCTAATGCCCTGATTGGAAAGTATCGTCTCTCCTGCACCATATATTTCAATGATTGGGCCCAGCAGATGGAAGCCCTCTAATTTGATGGCCAGGGCGGAGGAGGCTTTATATCTCCATGGCAGAGCTCTCCTACTGCGATCACTCTTTGCTGCTCATAACCAGACCTGCTGCGTGTCTTTTGTCTTCTAGAAGGTGGGCCACTCTGAGCACTCTATGGCTGCTGTTGTCTAGGGCTGTAAGTGGGCAAGGGCCGTGGATCTGGGTCCAAGTGTTGAGAGAACATCCCTGTGTAAGTAGGAAGGAATGCCACGCTTAAAGTGGGTGAGGAAACCTTGGGGGGTCAGTGTCGGAGACTTACAGAAACACAGTTCGGGGGCGTGCGCTTGGCCCTAACTTCTCCCTGTGCACCATAAATCTTGACTGTCTTTTCTCTGATTTCTGCCATCAAGGTTTCGTATGTGCTAGGTAAGCGCTGAGCTGTGCCCCCAGAGCTGGGTCTCCAGTTCGTGCTTCTGATTGAAGCTGTAACCCACTCCTGCAGGGGGATTGTCAAACTTCTATTCATGGGTTAATGGTTAATTCCACTTTAGCTTATAACCCGAGATGCCCTAGAACTCCCAATTTAGTCAAGAATAACTTTCTGCCCTCCCCACCAAAACAGGGTTTCTTTGTGTAATTCTGGCTGTCCTGTCAGTTTGTAGACTAGGCTGGCCTCAAACTCAAGAGATCTGACTGCCTCTACCTCCCGAGTGCTATTTAGTCAAGAAAAACTTTAAAAAAAAAAATAACTTTCAAGTCCTGATTCTCCTGTCTCCCCACCCCTGCAGTGCTGAGATTCTGCACTGTGCCGCCACAGTTCACGTGGGGCTAGGACGGAACCCGGGGCTTCCCGCACACCAGGCAAGTGCTCTACTCACTAACACACCCCAGCCTGTTTGGTTTCTCCGTAGCTTTTGGTTCCTGTCCTGGGAACTAGCTCTTGTAGACCAGGCTGGCCCCGAACTCAGAGATCCGCCTGCCTCTGCCTCCCGAGTGCTGGGATTAAAGGCGTGCGCCACCACCGCCTGGCGGTTTATTTCCATTTTTTACATTGTGGAAAACAGCCCCTCTGCCACACTCACGTAAGACACCTGGGGATGGCACAGAAGGCAGGTTTGGGTACTTATGAAGAACTTGATTGGCACATAGCCCTCTCTCCTCCAGGGCTCTGGAGTCCTCAAAGGCAGAGTTAGTATCTGTAACACCACCTGTGGGACCTGCGCATTGTAAATTACTTGCTGCTTACTCCGTTTGTGAAAAATTTTGTGGGACTGGGGCTATGCTCAGTGGGTAAGGCGCTTGCCTAGCATGCACAAAGTTTGGGGTCCCCCCCTCAGAACTGTATCAGCCAGGCATGGTGGTGCATGCCTATCATTGAAGCACAGGGGAGGGGGAGGTAGGAGGCTCACCCGTGGCTGTATAGCATCTTACAAGGCGAGTTCCAGGTTTCCCTTTGCTGCTGAAGGAACAGCCTATCACCACCCTGAGATACCACATTCTGTATCTCAATGAAACAATCGTCTTGGGGTTGGGACTGTTGTAAGGAGGCTGCTTTGGACATTTTTGCATGTATCATCCAGTTACTATGCAAGTACTCCAGGCGTGTAATTGCTGGGTGCTGGGGTGGGAGCACACTGAACATTAGCAGATGTTACCAAACCAGCTTCCAAAGTAGCTCATTACAATTTTCACTGCCGGGTGGTGGTAGCGCACACCTTTAATCCCAGCACTTGGAGGCAGAGGCAGGAGGATATCTGAGTTGGAGGCCAGCCTGGTCTACAAGAGCTAGTGCCAGGACAGGCTCCAAGGCTCCAAAAGCTACAGAGAAACCCTGTCTCGAAAAAAAACAAAAATTAAATTTTCAGTTAAAAAAAATTGATCACACTTTGTCAGTGTGTACATATATGTGGGTAAATACACATCATGGTGTGTGTATAGGTCCAAGGACACAAGCAGGACACTTGCGGGTCCCAGGGATTGAACTCAGATCTTTATGCTGGGCAGCAAGCACCTTTATGTGTTGAGCTGTCTTGCTGGACCTCACTTTTTAATTGTATGTGTATTCTGTTTCCACCTGACTTGAGTTCCAGGGCTCAAATGCAGGTTTCCAGGCACCTGTGGCAAGTGCTCCTACTCTGCCAAGCCAGCTCACTTGCCCAGCTGTACTGGATTTTGACTTCCTGCAGGGCTAGGGAAGTGTTCTGATGTGTTAACACTGAAATATTCCTTTTCTTTCTTTGACATATTCTCGGGTGTGTGTGTGTGTGTGTGTTTGAGGGGAAGGGACACAAAGGTTTGTTTCTGTGATGACTAATGAGCTCGGGCAGTTGAACCTTTTACCATCACAGGGTGAAGCATCTCTTTAGCCCTTTCTGTCCCCACAGGCCCATCACTGAATCTGGGAGGCGTGCTGACGATAGGCTGTAGCTAGCTTTTTAATCTGGTCTGGGATCTGCCGTGGAGCTGAGGGGGTGATTGCTCTGAGAAGCCGTTCAGGGGCAGTAAGGAAGGGCAGATATTCTGCATATGGCTTTTCACAGCTTCCTCCATGCTGGCGTCAGTGGGAAGGCCAGGAGCCTAGGGATGAGGAGGCTCCTGGAGGGGCAGTGTGCCAGCTGACTCGGGTGCTCCTTGATATAAAACTGGCAGATGCTGGAGTTGGTATTTATGACACCAGAGTTCTGGGGTTGCTCAAGGGGCTCTCAAGGGAGAGGTGGCTCTGCGCAGTGTACTCCAAGGGACTTGGCTACCTCTGGATTTCTGACTTGGACAAGTTACTCAAGCCTGGGGAGAAGGTGTGTGCTTAGTTTTCTGTGTATTTTATGATTGGATGTGTGGTTCTGTGGTATTTAACAGTTTCCGGAACTTCTCATCTTCTGAGATGGACACTGTAGGTCTTGAACTAGTTTACCCCCTCTCGCTCGACTTTGTTCTAAGAGTCTGCTACCCTGGAAGTTCACTGATGTAGCCGCATGTATTTGTTCTTTTTGTACTTCACTTAGCTCAGTTTTGTTAAGTTTTAAATTTATTTTATGTGCATTGGTGTTTTGCCTGCCTGTGTGTCTGTGGGTGTCGGATCCACTGGAGCTGGAGTTAGACAGTTGTGAGCTGCCACGTGGGTGCTGGGAACTAAACCCAGGTCCCCTGGAAGAGCAGTCCAGGCTCTTAGCCTGCTGAGCCATCTCTCCAGCCCCCATAGCTCAGTGTCCTTAAGGTTCATCATGTTGGAGCTAAACAGATTTTCTTTATTTCTTTGCTTTTTTTTTCTCTTTTTTTTTTTGTTTTTGTTTTTTGAGACAGGGTTTCTCTGTAGCTTTGGAGCCTGTCCTAGAACTAGCTCTTGTAGACCAGGCTGGCCTTGAACTCAGATTCACCTGCCTCTGCCTCCTGAGTGCTGGGATTAAAGGCATGAGCCACCACTGCCCTGGCTGCCTCAGGATTTTTAAAATTAACTTTGGCTGGATGTTGTAGTGCGTACCTTTAATCCCAGTACTGGGGAGATAGAGGAAGATGGATCTCAGTAAGTTTGAGCCTAGCCTGGTCTACAAAGCAAGTTCCAGTACAGCCAGAGCTACTACACAGAGAAGCCCTGTCTTGAAAAACCCAAAAGTAAATAAATTTGCTAACTTTGTTGTAAAAAAAAAAAATTCTATAAAAATTTTAAATTTATTTTTGTGTGTATGTGTGATGTCAAAGTGCATATATAGTAGGAGGAAGACTGATAAGGGTCAGAATTAGTTCTCTTAGCCATTTTCCAGCTCCTCCTATTCATTCTGTTATTTGTTCATCTGGTGGTGGGGATGGATCTCAGGGCTCTGGGGTTTGTTAGGTAAGTATTCCTAGGCTATATATTCCCGACCTTTTCACAGCATGTGGAAGGTCAATAGAAGAGACTATCGTTTCCCTGTGTTCTGTTATTTTATTCAAGGTAGCCTATGGACATGATTCCTGGTCTCTCCACTATGCTACATCCTTGGCATATGACTTAAGTCTATGTGAACTCCATTTTCAAGGCTCTGCTTTCAGGCCTGGTTGGCAGATAAGGGCACAGGATAAGTCCAGATGGTGTACTCAAGGTCATTTTAGAGGGCAAGGGGTGAAGACTGGGTTAGCTGTGAGGCCTTTTGTTAAAGAATTTTTTTTTAACTATGTGTTTGTGTATGCGCCTTGTGAGTGCAGTGCCCACCGAAGCCAGAAGAGGGCGTAGGATCCCTTGGAAGAGGAGTTACAGTGGCTTTGAGTGGCTGGATGTGGGTGAAGCAAACCAACCCAGGAATCTCTCCCGGCTCTCAAGGGCTGAGCTACCACTCCGGGAAAAGGAGAGGTGGGGGTGCCAGCCGAGGTGCGGAAGAGACCACTGCTGCCAGGAGGTGTGCGGTGCGCCCGTCCTGCGCATGCGCGCCCGCTCCGCCCCGCGCGCTCTTCCCCCGCTCCTTCAGCCCGTGGTACACGCTGCTTCCGCTTGCGCCGCCCCCTCCCAGTTGGTTTCCGCGCGCGCGAAAAAGCCGGGGTCTCGTTCAGAGCTGTCCTGTCGGCTGCGACCTGCGAGATGCCAGCACGAACAGCCCCGGCCCGAGTGCCCGCGCTCGCCTCCCCTGCAGGCTCGCTGCCCGACCATGTCCGCAGGCGGTAGGTGCCACGCGGGGTGGGGGATGGGGGGCTACACCGATGCCGAGGCGTTTGTGGAGGCATCTCGGGTGCCCTGCGGCCGCTGACAGCCGGGGCGCGCATGCGCGGGGCAGTGCTTGGCGCGGGCCGCGCTTCCGGTCGGGAGTCCTCCAGGCTCTTGGCGCCAAAATGGGTGGGGGCCGGTTTGCTGGCCAGTCCACTGACTGGGAAACCCGAGGGAGAAAGGCGAGAGTATCTACTAGCCTCGTGGAGGTGCAGGCTTGGGGCACCTCCAGGGTGCCGCCTCTTTGGTCAGCCAGGCTCCTGGGTTTGCAGGAAATGTCCCCCTCCCCGCGGCCTGTGGACACCCCCACACTCCCCACCAGCTCCGGCCTCCACTTCCGGTGCCCAGTGGGTCTCGCCGTGCCCACCCCAGGGTCGTTCCGCAGGGTCCTCCGGAGGCCCTGGTGCAGGCGTGCTGCCTCGGCGTCCCCCCTCTTCCCGTGCCCGGCTGTCAAGTCCTCAGAGCTGCTCTCTCCCCGTGCAGCACTGGGCCTGGGCAGCTTGCAGCCCACGTGGGTTTTTGTTTTGCTGTTATCCTAAAGTAAAGGAGCCCCTGCGATCCTGGAGCCATCAAAGAGACTCTGCCAGGAGAGGGATGGTGCGGAATGGGCCCTCCACTTTTGCAGTGACATAAACCAGGTCCTGAGATCCCAGAGCAATCGAGGGAATGTTTGACCCTGTCCAGAGTGTGTGTCGTGGGGAGGGAGAGAGGGATGGTAACTTTAGTGAGCTGTCTCGGCTCCCGCCCCATGGCTTAACCCTGTGAAACAATTCATTTGGTCCTGGCACCACTGAGGAAGCTTATTACGTTGTCCCGTGTGCCTATTCCGTACTCCCGAGTGCCTTTTCTAAGGAGTGAGGGATGGCAAGTAACCCCACCCCCCATTTTAGTGCATGTGAATCTCCCCCCCCACTCCTCCCAGCGGTCCAGTGTGTGTCACTGGCAGTGAGGGACCCTGGGTGTTTCTGTGCGCAGGCATTGGCGGGAACGCTGGATCTTGCTTCCTGTTCCAGAAGGACATCATTAGTCAGTTCATTTCTGAAAACTTGTCCCACGTGCCGCTGTGCCTTGGTCATGGGGTGCCCGGACCAGCTCTGGACGTATTCCAACCCGACCTACTTCTGCTGTCTCTTTCCAAGGGTTTTGTTTACAGCGGTCATGCCAGGCCAGTTCCTAGTCGAGCTTTGGAGAAAGGAGCATGACTGAAATTCCCCTTCCTGTCAGACGCCCCCACCCCAGCTTGCTCCCAGGGTTGGACCTGAAGCTTTGTGCATGCAAGTTTTCTGTCACTGAGCTAAACCTCCAGCCCTTTCTCTCTTTTGGTGGTGGTGGGGGGGAGAGGACAGGATTCTTGGTGAGTTCCCCAGGCTGGCCTGGAGCTCTCCATCTTCCTGCCTCTGTCTCAATGTTGGGATTACTGGCATGTGCCACCTGATGGTTTGAATATGTTTTTGACTGTTATAGAGATAAAAACAGGCAGCTTTTGTGACACCCCTCAACAGTTTTTCTTTTACAATTTAACCTTTCTACCAAAAATACATAGTTAAAGCCCTTGATGGCTCTTTAGACAGTGAGATGACCTCCCTTACTGTCTTTTCCTGTCTTTGTTCATTTGCTCACCTGTGGGTTTTGTTTCCCAGGTAGGCTGGCTTCAGGCTGGTTTGTATAGCTCAGGCTAGCCTTGATCTTCTTGTATCTGCTTCCCAAGTGCTGGGATTATAGGACTGTTGACGCCACACCTGGCTTAACTTTGCTTGGTTTAGGAGAATGTAGTAGCAAAGTATAATCTACAGTGTGAAGAGGTGTGTCTCTGGTAGGATGGTCAGGAGCTGAATTAGGCCTTGTGGCAGCTTCTGTCCTTGCTGCTGGTCTGTATTTAAATGGCACCTGCCTAAGTGACAGTTTGCACAGTTCTGCCAGACATATAAAATAAAGTGTTTTCGATATTTGGATTCTAAGTCTTAACTTTTATATGTATGTGGGCACATGCTACCGCTTGTGTTTGGAAGTCAGAGGGCACTCTGCCGGAGCTGGTCGTCTTAGTCAGGCGTGGTGGCACATGGTCTGTAACCTAAGCCCTTAGAAGGCATAAGCAGGAGAGCCACTAGTTAGAATTCAACCAAAGCCTTGTTTCAAAAACTCATTCCTTTCAGGATGAGGTACTTCTTTTCCTGAACAAGGCTGCGTCTTTCCCGTAGCTGAGACCTCCTTATTGACTCGGGGTTCTAATTTCTTTCAGCTTTATAAATTTTTTTTCAAGGCAGAGAGAGTCTCTGTAGTCAGCTGGTCTTGAGCTTAACGATGCTTGTTCCTCCTGAGTACTGTATTGACAGGTGTGCTTTACATGCCTGTCCTGCTCTTATTTTTTTAAACTTGTGTGTAAACGGTGTGTGTCTAATGTGCATGTGCCACAGCATAGGGGCGGGCATAATCTCATATGCACACGTACCACAGCATGAGTGTGGCAGTTAGACTTGTTTATACCATCATCCACCTTTATGTGGATTTGGGCTCAAACTGAGCTTTCAGACCCACCGATCCGTCTCACCAAGTCAGTGTTTGCTGTGTCTGTGCGCACATGTGAAGGTCTTTTCCTGAGGCAGTTCTTGGGGCTCCTAGAGTTGAAAGTCAGACTTGGCAACGGGTGCTTTTACTCATGGGCCATCTCATCTGACTTTTTTCTTCTGAGACAGAGTCTCACTATGTAGTCTTTGGTAGCCTGGAACTCTTTGAAGGCCAAACTGCCCTGAAACTTCAATCTACCTGCCTTTGCCTCCCAAATGCTGGGATTAAAGACAGCATGTGCAACCATGCCCAACTTATTACTTGGAACTTTTTGAATTGGTTTCTTGCCTTCTCTACCTTATGCTGAGTGTGCAGGGGGCGGGGTAGGTAGATACAGGTGTTCTGCCTGTTAGTATATCTGTGCAGTTTATATGCCTGGTACCTAAGGAAGCCAGAAGAGGGCAGTGGATCCCTGGGGCTGGATTTTTGCTTTCAATCTTATTTTGAGACAGAGTTTTCCTTCGTAACCCTGGCTATTCTAGAACTTAATATGCAAACTAGTCCTACCTGGAACTCTAGACTCTCCTACTTGTATCTGAGTATGGGGATAATTAGCCTTTTTGTTGAGACCGATTGCTCATAACCTTGGAACTCACTGATTGAGCTAGTCTGACTGGCCTGCAAACCCAGAGATTCTTTCTCCATCCATGTTTGGCTTTCTGTGGGTCTTGGGATTCAAACTCGGGTTTATGTTGTAGTATGACAGTCATTTTACTAAAAATCTCCCCAGTCATTTTTTTTAAATTTGTTTTTATTGAACTATATATTTTTTCTCCTCCTTTTCTTCCTCCTCCCCTTTTATCCTCTCCCATGATCCCCATGCTCCTAATTTACTCACGAGATCTTGTCTTTTTCTACTTCGCATGTAGATTAGATCCATGTATGTGTCTCTTAGGGTCCTCTTTGTTGTCTAGGTTCTCTAGGATTGTGAATTGTGGGTGATTTTTTCTTTGCTTTATGTCTAAAAGTCACTTATGAGTGAGTCCATATAATTGTCTTTCTGGGTCTGGGTTACCTCACTCAATATGTTTCCTAGATTCATTTTCCTGCAAATTTCAAGATGCCATTATTTTTTCCACTGTGTAATACTCCATCGTGCAAATGTACCATGTTTTCCTCATCCATTTTTCAGTCGAGAGGCATTTAGGTTGTTTCCAGGTTCAGCTATGACAATGCTTCTATGAACATAGTTGAGCACATGTCCTTGGTATGATTGAGCATCCTTTGGATATATACCCAAAAGAGGTATTGCTGGGTCTTAAAGTGGGTTGTTTCCTAATTTTCTGAGAAATCACCATACTGATTCCCAAAGTGGCTGTACCAGCTTGCACTCCCACCAGCAATGGAGAAGTGTTCCCTTTACCCCATATCCTCTCCAGCATAGGTTGCCCCAGTCCTCTTTGAGTTTTTCAGACAATTGGGTAGCCCAGGCTAGCCTTAGCCACCCTGTGTAGCTTAAGATGACCTGGATTCTTGCCCCTCCTGCCTCCACTTCTAGGTGCCGGTATCCATGTGTGCAGGTTATGCGGTGCTGGGGATGGAACTGAGAGCCTCAAGTGTTCTAGGCAAGCGGTTTACTCACTGACTTTCCTCTTCTATGCATTAAGTTCACTCAGAAAGATGATATAGCCTGGCTTCATTTAAGTAGGAAGTTTTGAGTTCTGTAATTTTTATTTTTCTCTCTTTTTTTTTTTTTTTTTTGGGTTTTTCGAGACAGGGTTTCTCTGCGGCTTTGGAGCCTGTCCTGGAACTAGCTCTGTAGATCAGGCTGGTCTCGAACTCCCAGAGATCCGCCTGCCTCTGCCTCCCGAGTGCTGGGATTAAAGGCGTGCGCCACCAACGCCCAGCTGTAATTTTTATTTTTTTTTAATATTATGTATACAATATTCTGTTTACATGTGTGCCTGCCGGCCAGAAGAGGACACCAGACCTCATTACAGATGGTTGTGAGCCACCATGTGGTTGCTGGGAATTGAACTCAGGACCTTTGGAAGAGCAGGCAATGCTGTTAACGTTGAGCCATCTCTCCAGCCCTGTAATTTTTATTTTGCTGTGCTGAAGTTGAACCCAGACCTCTGTATGTGTGCTAGAGGTGGTGTAGCTCACCGCAGGTCTGGAACACTGGCACTCGGTTGACAGGTGTTCTGTTAAGTCCTTGGTGCTGTCCCTTACAGCTGTGTGGTCGTCATCTTAATCTTAGTGCTCTGTGTCTAGTTTTTAAAGACTTATTTTTAAATGTGTGTGTGTGTGTGATGTGCATGCAGGTGCCCATAGAGACCACAAGGTGTCAAATCCCTTGGAACTCAGTTAAGGAGGGGACGTTGCAAGCCACCTGACCCAGGTGGGGAACTTAGGTCCTCTGTAAGAGCAGTACATGCTGTTGACCACCAAGCCCTATCTCCAGGCTCCCCATCTGTTTTGGGGGGGCACTGGGCATAGAACCCAGGGCAGATATTTTATTGTTTAATGTGCCATTTAAGAAATGAGGCTGACCACTCCTGGTGGGGAGTGAGTTAGAGCAGCAGTCTGGAGGCCTCCACCCTGGGCCATCACAGCAGGGAGCTTCTGCCTTCCAGGTGCTAGTCTATGCAAGTACACTGCCCTCAGCTGGGCTGGCTTCTTATGCCAGGCTTGTGGGATGCTCTAGGCTTTTTCTTTCCATGATTTGCCTAGATTTTGTTTGTCTGGACCTGTTAACCCTTCTGTTTGAAACTATCTTTGAATTCCTTTTCCTGCCTCCGCCTCTGCGTACTGTTGGGATTCTTGGCATGAGCTGCTAAGACTGGTTTAGTTTTAGGTCTTTCTCTCTGGTGTTGAAGTGAACTATTCATTTTCTTATATCTTCTTTTAGTGCTGGCTGTAGATTTGTGCTAGGCAAGTGCTATGCCTCTGAACCACACCTTGGACCAAAGAGTATCAGTCTCTTGTGTGGTGAGGGTCAGAAATGAGGGAGGTATGGAGTAGAAACCAAGATGTTCTAGCTTGGGGTCCTTTCTGGACACACGTAGGCAGGAATGTGTCCTCTCTGGGGAGCTGGTAATTTAGTTTATGACTATTGCAAGTCTGGGGTATTTTATTTTCTTGTGTCTCTGTGTGTGATTTTTTTAAGTTGTTTTTTTTTTTTTTTTTTTTTTTTTGAGACAGGGTTTCTCTGTAGCTTTGGAGCCTGCCTGAAACTAGCTCTTGTAGTTTAAATTAGTTTTTTTTTTAATTTATTACATATATAGTGTTCTGGGCACCAGATCTCATTATAGATGGGTATGAGCCTTCATGTGCTTGCTGGGAATTGAACTCAGGACCTCCAGAACAGCAGTCAGTTCTTTTAACCTCTGAGCCATCTCTTCAGCCCTGTAGTTTAAGTTTTAAAACAGGGTCTCATTCTATACCTCAGGCTGATCTTGAACTCAGTTTTCCTACTCCAACCTTGTGCTTACTGTGACAGGTACTGTTACACCTGGCTAGTTCTCTTTATTGTGTGTATGTATGTATGAATGCAGCTGTACCGGTATAGATATCCCAGGACTATTTTAATTTCTATTTGTGATTTAGAAAAACTTGAAGTTAGTTACAATAGTGAGTCTGGGGGTGCTATGCTGTCTTGGTATGTACATGAAAGGCAGAGGTCAGGTTGTTAGTGTTGATGCTCTTTCCACCTCTGTATGGATTATGGGGGATCAAACTTAAGATTTCAAGCTTGTGTGGCAGGCCAGAGGTCACTGTTGGTTGTCTTTAACTGAGCCTAAAGCTCACCTTTGACTAGATTTGGTGACCTAGTGTTTTTCTCAGTTTTTTTACATGGGTTCTGGGCCCCTAACTTGGGTCCTTGCTAAGTCATCTCACCAGCCTACTCCAGACTTGTGATGTAACTGGAGGTACTTGGACATTGTGATGTTCCTGCCTGGGCCTTTTGAGTGCTGAAATTACAGGTGTGCTAAACTGAAGACTGTCTCCAGTTTCTGAAACCGTCTGTTTGACTCCCATCCCACCTCCACCCCCCAAAGTCAACCTCTTGTGCCATGTCCTTGTCTCTCTGACCTGCAATGCAGCGGAAAGCTCTGTGCTGAGGGAGTTTAGACTAAGCCCATGCTGACTGTCCCTGATAATCTTCCCATCTTTCCATCAGAAGCTCGAGCATCAGCCGGGCAGTGGTGGCACACGCCTTTAATCCCAGCACTCGGGAGGCAGAGGCAGGTGGATCTCTGTGAGTTCGAGACCAGCCTGGTCTACAAGAGCTAGTTCCAGGACAGGCTCCAAAACCACAGAGAAACCCTGTCTCGAAAAA